GAAGGGGAATCCAATATTTTTCTTGAATGGCAAAAAGTTGCAACTCTTGCAGCCGCTCGATCGTGATGAGGAAAACCTAAGTCACATTGTATTTCAAGTAAGTAAAATTAAGTAAAGCAGCAGCTCAAGCGCAAGACAAAAACTTCAAATGTTAATAAAGAATTTTAATATTAAAATTACCTGCCCATAAAATTGAAATAAGTAAGTTTGCCAATTACATGTAAAATAAATTGAACCCGTTATTTTATAGACGTGTGGGCGCTACTTGATTATAATTGATGGGTAGCCAGCCAGCTTAAGTAATTTCTACCGCAGTGGTTTTTTGCAAGTGTTACTTCAAACCAACGATTTCTGTTTCAGTCACAGCTGAGCTATAATTAAAATGTCTGTCTCATGATACTCTTGTGTTGCTAGTAATCTTTCATACATTTTTATACATTTTTATATATTTTATTGCAATTTAATACTTTTTTATACTACTAATCTCTGCGCCTTCTTACATTTCTTGCTGCACATAGGTTTCCTGCACAATACGCTCCTCTGGTAAAAAACGCAACATTCCGATTATTGTTCGCGTGTCCGATGTCAATGATAATGCACCACGTTTCATGAACACGCCCTATGAGGTCACTGTGCCCGAGGTAAGTTACACAAATTTAACAACAACAAAAAAAAAGCAATATAGAATGCTTAGAAAAAAATTTCAATTGAATTGTTTTATTAACTGAAAAAATCGCTTATGGCAGAGTTTTTACAAATATGCAACAATGATTGCATTCTCGAAGGCATACAACGGAACTATTTTCAGAGTTGTGGGTGGCTTTTATTGTATAAATATGTAACGGTTTTACCGCCCACATTTTGGCATTACCTGAAATTTTGATGTGTTTAGGCAGTGATAAAAATCTTTGTTATTTATATAAAGAAAAATACTCGTAAATATTGTGAAGAGAATAGAAATACGAGTGTGATTATCTTATGGGTTTTTATAAATGGAAATATTTCAGTAACACCACAGCATTGAGAAAAAAAGCATTATTTTAGAATAAAAGCATTGAATTGATTAAATAAAATTTAACAGTAGTGAAAGCATAACATAATATGTACATAACATAAAATGATTGTTGCTGGACTTAACATGACTGCGATTTTAACAGCGAAATTGCGATTGTCGGCAAGAAAATAATATTTATTCATTTTAATTTTTTGCTACTAACAAGCTGCTTTATTTCTACTTACAAAAAGTGCAGTTTTGATTTCATAACAATCGTTTTTAGGTAAGTAAGTAGGTTGAAGTGGCGACCTTATTTCCAAAAAGCCCACTTAAGCTCAAATGATGGCCCATTGTGGTATCACAGGAATAGCATTGGTACGTAGATATGTTAGATTTAAATCAGTATACAGCCAATGTCGAGAGGAAAACCAACATCACAGAATGACAGTTCAGTCAGATCGCTGAGAAAAGGAAATCCGAAGATTTCTTAATCTTCTTCTAGCTAAAGAAGGACACTGACATATACCATAAGATGGAGCCATAACCTCGCCAAAAATCATTATAGGGTGAGGTCGCAGTGTCCCGTCAGCATAGATACCGTAGTGCTTAGCAGGTTTCGCCTTAGTTGAAGTAGCTGACCAGTTCGTTTTTTGTCTAGATTAGACCAAGTCAACCTAAATATCTGACAATGAGGTTCATCAGCCCAATATTGCTTGGCTTTGCTAAAGTATTTTTGTTTACTTACAAGTTTAACTGTAGCCAATGGAACACCACTATCTGATAATCGTTATTAGTGTTTTAAGATATTTTTGGAACTGTTTGCAAAGTTATTTTTAAATACCAAATACACTTACACGTTGACCATATTTGGTAACTAGCACTTATTAAAGTTGTACACTTCGAAATTAATTACCAATGGTATTATTATTATTGTTAGGGGATGTAGCACTGTGACCGCCGGGTCTATTGTGCTCCCTTCTGGACTTAGATCTATCAATATAAAGTAGTATTGAACCTACTTTACAAAGTTTTATTGACTCTTTCGTAAGAATACACATTCTTGGGAGCCTATACCGTATAAGCAAATGGTAATAGTAACCTATTATCTGCTAGAGCTAAGTGGTGATATCAAAAATACATCACAGAAATACTTAATATGTTTTTATAATATCACAAGAACTGTTAACAGTTTATTTTGCTATTTGCTGAAGTAACAACTTAAAGTAGTTCATTTGAGTTTTTTATGACTAAGAAATTTTATATATCAATTTTTTATTCTTTTCTCAAATACCTTTTTCTACATTTAGCATAATTTCAGAATTTTTTTCAATTGATTGGTGCTGCTAGACACTTAGCAACATTCTCGTACACATAAAAAGCAGTATCATTGCACAAGTGTCATGCGCCTCGTGTGATTACCTGAAGTGACAGTACGTATGTTATGTACATCTGCATGAGGAAGCCAGTCTTCGACCTACTTTACCAAGTACCGCAATGTGTACATTGGAAGAGTTGTTTTTTCTGCTGATTATTGTAAACAAAAAAGTCGAACACATAAATAAGTTAAGAACGCACAAATAATGTTGCCGCGTGCTATTTACGGCAACATTCAACAATTCATTACATTTCCGTGATGTGTTTGTAAACATTTGTAGGTTTTGTGTGGTGAAGAAAGACCAAAGTAACAAATGTTCCAGTGTGGCTTTACTGTTAAAGTGTCAAAGGAAATGTTGAATTGTTAAATTGTTAAATAGTTAAGTCACTTAACAAACTATGCTGATTACTTGCAAACCGTTAATGAGCCATTTTTAATAGCTGTCAGAATCTGACTTTAACTGTTTCGTGTGTTTCGTGGTGAACAATCTTTTTGCATTTATAAAAAGTCTTATAAAAAAAAAAATTTAAGCAAGATAACGTTTTATCTTAATTTTAACTTTCTAACTATTTAACACAGTTGCAGAACAAACATACACTTACCACTTTAAGGCTAATTAAATTAAAGTTTAAGTTTATTACTCCGTGGACTTCACTCGTACCTCAGTAACAGCTATTAAAACTTAATTGCACAAGTTGGCCTATCAAATCCAGTCAATAATTAATTAAATAAAAAAGCTTGGTAATTTACATAAGCAGTGCGACTCCTTCATATACAGTAACTACTCAAGATATACAAATATCTTTTAATACATACAGATCTATTGCTGTAGAAGTGTAAGCGAGTGTTTTGGTTAAGCCGTCATTTAGATGATATACATATATCATCTGGTGCATACATATCACCGAACATTACCACGTCTCTCAACCTTATGTTGATTTCTTCATCAATTTTTTTTTTCTTTCTATATGTATCTCAACACTCTTTTACATTTAAAATTGTTTGTTTTTTTAACCAACAAATTTTTAAATAAACTTTTTATGACTTCTGTTAAAGTTAATGACTTTAGATTTAGTTATTCAACAGTTCCGCAGCAATAATTGAAGGTAAACTGCAATTTGCATTAAATTTATTTGTTTTATGTTTACGATGCATAATACTTTAAGTAATATTGCACTGTTAATAACAATAATAAAACAATTTAATTAAAGTTAAATATTGACAGTGTAGGTCTTAAGTTTTTTATTTTATGTGTAATTGTGTAAAAGACTAAATAGTCTTATTTTTAAAGCAAGACAACAGTATGAAATATTAGAACTATCATCTTTGTTAACCTAACTTCAGACATCGACAAGTATTATTATAGTTAGACTATTAAAAACTGTTACTAATCATAGAAAATATTTTAGAACTAACGAAGAACTCATTTTAAAGATTAAGCAATGTGTTGTATCTGTGAATCTTCGGATCTATGAATGCTTTAACTCAATATGTATATATTGCGTTTATAGGCTATTAGGAGTCACACTAGGTCACTTTTGGGGTGTCATTTTAATAAAAGTTATTGGCTTAAAAATATATAATTGAATATATTATGGCATTATGTTTTAATATTGGCTTAAATACCATAGGAATAGGAATAAACGGGGTACCAGCTCCCAATGGAGCGGAACACTGTCACCATGATTGATCTTTTCTGCTGCAACAGACCCTAACCGAACAGAAGACATTCCTTCTTCCGAATGAATGGCAGAATGTCGGCCGTTGAGAACCTCCTAATGTCAGAAGAGGAGAGTGGTTTTCCACCCAGTGAACTCACAGTCACAAAGAATGTGACTGGAAATCTCGTCTGCTTCTGAGCAGAGTCAACAATCTATCTCTTCGGGCAGACCAATTTTGTGAAGGTGACAACGCAGTTGATGGTGACCCTTTAAATATCCCAGCAGCAACTTCAAATCAGTTCTATATGTAATTGAATATATTGTAGCATTACGTTTTAGTAGGTAATTGAAGTTCTTCACACAGGTTTCCTCACACATCACCTTTAGCATAATATTCATCAAGTTTACAACCCTAATTGTTTCAAGCCAATCAAAACCTTTTTACTTTCTTTAAAAAAACAAAGTAATTACTTAATTAATATAACTTTTTTAATAAGTTAAAAGGAAAAACCCCTTTTAAAACGGTTTGCGAGATTCTCTTGAAATAGTTAATGTAGTTTTCATCTGTTTCATCTGTTATAACCACAATCAAATATTTTTTTTAAAAGAAATTTTGTTTTTCCTCAGAATTTATTTTCCATGTGATGATTGAGTCTACAGTATCCCTTAGGTAGTTCAGTGTGAAGTTTAATATCGTTTCTGCTAAGGTTAAGGATAGCGTTGACTTTGATGTGTTCAAGTTCAATGAATCTTCTTGATAGCCGCATGCCTGTTTAGACTCTTCAGCGTTCAAGAAGACTACATTTCTCCCGTTCACATATTAAGTTATTTCTGAAGCTATTTATAATCACGTAGAAGAGCTCTGGAGGAGCACATGCAACCTTTCTTTACTACGAATTCTACCATTTCATCGCTCTATCATCATATAGTATTATGTATATAATTACTATATTAGGTATACTTAGTAGAGAATTCTGTAGAATTCTGTAGAAGTCTTTAGAATAACACTTGAAGAAAAGATTAAATATATATTGTATCACTGACCAGTTGTCTACAAATAAACAGTTCATACAGAGACTTTCTGAATAAGAATAATAACGATCATACCAGCCAAAGAAGCACACAGAAGCTTCTTCTGAAACTGCTTCTTACGTTAATCTCCAAAAATCCTCTTTCCATTTGTTGAAGTTGTTGATGTTATGAGTTAAAAATAAATGTAGCATATTTAATATATGACCCTGATTTCCTTTAACAATATTTATAATAATCCATGAATAGGACGATAAAATTGTAACAATTATAATATTTCTTTAGTTTTTTATTTTACTCAATAAATGTATTTTCTTCTATTACCTTTCAAACGGTTATGGTTTATATCAACCAAGTAAAGCATATGTCTTCCTGAAAATTATTTGTGAACATCTTTTCTTGATTGCCATAAAATATTTGACATACAAAATGCAGGCTTCGAAATTTGTCTCTGCCTTTGTCTCTGCTCGTTAATCGATAATATTACAACCACCTTGTATCTGAGATCAACAACATATGATTGCAATTTAAATATGTTTAACGGTGACAGTAAATTTAAATATTGCAAGCGGACGGATACAA